TTTTTTCCGAAAAATGTAAGAAATTCGAAACTAAAATTTTTAAATAAAAACATTTTACTTTATTTTATGATAAAATACATTTTAAAAATTAAAAATTTATATGTATTTTGTATTATATTGTATTAATAAACAAAATTATTTGCTTATTTTTCACTTATGTAGAACCTAACCCTATACCTCACTGTAAATATGGGTTCGTTTTACGCCAATTCGATTTGCGCCGGCTTTTGTAGGAACGGAACTGCAGATTAAACCGAGGGCTACCTGTAATTAATCAGATGATGTCTAAAAACTTATTATTAATAAAAAATCTAGATTTGAGATAAGACAATATCAAATCAGACAACTGCTTACAAGTGGTACAGTGTCAAAAGCACCATGCAAGTCTTCTATTTTCCTTGGATAAGAATATTTTGGTATTTGCAAAAGTAATTAAGACCAGACCCTCATACTATTAATGACATACTGTTCCTAAATAACCTATATTTATGCAGTTTTATTTTCATCCACTCATTTATAAATTAAGAAAATATATTAATTAAGTAATCTTGTAAGTATATGTAATGAAGTGTATAAAATACAGGGTCTTCCAAAAAGAATAATACCATCTTAAATTACTGTAATAATGTTAATTATTACCCTAGAAGTAAGCAATGTAGATCAGTCGACAGAGTAACTCTCCGAGTTTCGTCTTCCATCTGCATATGGATTTCATTTTGTCTGCCACCTCTAGGAAGCACAGTAAATGAAAATGGTAACTCCACATCTGCAACAAAGATGTCTTTTTGTTTTGCAGTTTGCAAAGTCAAAATCAGTCATCATTGTGCACCGATTTTCGATGGTTTTTTTGAGTTTTGCAGACAATTTCAAAGTAATCCGCCACATAAGGCAAACGTTCTTCTGGCACAGTGATGACAGATTACAACTTTGCAGACTGCAGAATGCAAAACACCTTCTATCATAAAGTGTTCATTTTTGTTTTGCAATGTAAGTCAATCGACAGTTATTTTGTCGATTGACTTACATTGCATACTTCGAGTAATAATTATATAATTACAATAATTTAAAATGGTAGCATTTTTTTTTTTTTTTTTGGAAAACTTTGTATTCCAATAAGTCTATTTTGTTAGAATTCTAATATTGACAATTCACCTCACATTATAAAAATAATTATTAAAATGAAAAGTTATTTTTTACTACAAATAAGACTAAGTAAAGACTCTAACTAATATTTTTAAATATTTTACACTAAATGTATAGTTCATTGCTGAACTGTAGTTAACATTATTAACTTTTAATCTAGCATGCAGGCACAAAGTATCAAAAGTTTAGAGATTTAATTTTGTAAAAATGTTTTTTAAAAAAATCTAAAATCCAATACCTTCCTAACTCTCCACCTGCCTTCATGTGTAGAGTTATTTTTTTGGTAGTTTTCACAGTTAGCCTTCAAAAAACAAAACAAAAACAAGCTCAAATTTCTCAATCTCTCATGATCAAATATATCCATATTAAATAAAAAATCAGCAAAATAACCAAAGAAACAATTTTATTAAATTAAAATGTTTGTAACAACCAAATAAAAAAATAATAATAAATTGTAATGTTTGTATCAGGTAAAAGATAATTCTCGTTATATAATTCTCATTATTTTCTGAATTCAATAAGTTTTTCTAACAGAACTAAGAAAAATTGTGGTATAAATGTAAATTTAGAGAAGCTTTAATTGTATCTTAAACTGGAAAAGCATAGTATCTAATAATCTATTAAATAATTTTACGAGTCAATAAAATTTAGTCTACAAATTACTATATGGTAATACCTATTTATTTGTGAAGACGTTGGCAATGTTAAATTACATTCTGTACGTAATGATTTAATATGCAATGGACATTTCACCTGCTGAGAACATTAGCAATGAAACTCCATAAGTTCTGTTTTGAGCTAATTGTTTTTGTAGTTTTTGTCGAACTTTGACCTTTTATTCTACTTAACCACGAGTTACCCAATTGATTTTGTTTTTTTTTGGCTGTAGCTAGGACATCTTTCAAACAGGTGTTCTAGCAGATTAATTTTCCTTATATTTCGAATTAGTATAAAATTTTTTTACTTTAGCTAAGTCACTAAAGCATAAAAATTTGAATATGTTTTGAAGATTTTGTGACTGATAGAATGAAGAGACATCTATTGACTAGGTTAAACTTGAAACCTTTCATTCATTTTTTTTACTTAAATAGAAAAAAGTCGCACAGAGCTAAATCTGGAAATATGGAGGATGCAGGATTAACCAAACACAAGAGTCCTGTAAAAATTCCAATGTCTTGGCAGCAATGTGAGCCCTGGCATTGTTACAGTGAAGCAGAATTCCTCATAAACCAGTTATGGTGTGGTTCTTGCATACGTCTTCAAAAACTTGTAGCAGATGTTTCGAGATATACCAATCGGCATTAACTGTGTTTTGATCTACCACTTCAACTGTTGTGACGAACACTTTTTCTGAAAAAGTGGCAACCATTTGCTTTCAGCATTTCTAGAATGGTGAACTTTTTAGGTGGAGATAAGAGGAAGAACAACAAAGGATACAAGTTTAACATAGTCAAAGATGAATGCCATGCTTTCTTGAAGGATGTCAACACCTTGTCCAAAGAAGATTGGGTTAATTGTTTCATTCTTTGCTTAGAAGGATGCAACTTGACATTGATACTAATAAAGAATACTTCAAAAACTATATAATTGTTTAATATTACCAAAATTAGCATGTCCCAAAACATCTAATATAAGCTTTGCTTATTGTAATCTGAGTTTTGGTTAGTTATCATTATTTTAAGGCAAAAACTGTAGACATTTTTAAGCTGTCTTTTCATGCTACCAATCACAAGATGTGGCTAATACTGCACAGTCATTATTGGTTGTAATTAATGATTAAAACATTTAAAGATAAAATGTTTTAAGCATTATTTGTTCTTAGTACAAGAATTTCAAATTGCTGCATTTTTCTAAAATTCGTAAATATACTGTAGCCTTTAGTAATTTATAATCAAGAATTTCTATGATATTTTATTGTTAAAACTTCAAAAATACTAATATAGTTAAGGCATATAAAATCAGTAAACCTATTATTTCAATTTGTTTTTATGCTGTAGAAAGTACTGTATAATCAAATTTAACACCTATTTTGAACATTTCAGCAAAATCATATTTTGATTAAAAAATTATACTATGTTTATATTTATTCATATAGAACCAGCTGCATTCAGATGGTTCTATTTAAATTATAATTCTGTTTCTATTCTAATTTAAATTATTTAAACATAAAAATTTTCAAATAACTACATTTATCTCTAAATTCCTTCATATATAAAATGTTCAATACAAATTCTTTATATGATTTTTTGATACATTGATATATTTTTAATCTCTAATTTGTTTTTAACTAAATAACTTTTATATTAACTTTTAGGACCTCACTTGTATAAGATAATGAGAGTATTAGATTTACTTTTTTATTCTACTTTTAAAATTAGTACTTACTTCTGAATTTTGAAATGAATGAGACTCCGTTAAAGCGCTATCAGAATGTTGATTGTTCTGACTCCATGTTTTCCACGGTGCACTATCCATTCCTTTATGTTTCACTGAAATACTACCAGAATTGTCATTTCCGCTGGGAGGTGTTTGTTGAAATACTAGTAAAAATATAACAGAAATATTTTAATAACAATAAGCAAACAAAATATTAATCACAACGATTCAATAATATGATACATAAAACCTCTAAATCTAGAAACGGACTAAAAAATGGTCACTCTGAGTTATAGAGAATTCCACATATTAAGGTATATAAAAACTGTTAGATAAAAATAATAAAAAGAACATGGCCGGTGTTATTTACATTTAATAAATATACAAAAAATATAAATATGATTTTTTACAAAGGCAAATCCTTCCTCCAGTCCTTTTTATTTCACCATTCGCACCAACAGCAATCCATAAAAAATTCACAAAGTTATGAAGGCGACCTTCCTTTTGAGGCTACTGCCTCTGCAATAAAAATGTAATAATAAGGTAGAGCATTTTCCGTAGGTTTTACATTTTTATTGTGGAGGCAGTAGCCCCAAAAGAAAGGTTGCCTCCGTAACTTTGTAAACTTTTTTATGGATTGCTGTTGGTGCGAATGGCGAAATAAAAAAGACTGAAGAAAGGTTTTATATTTGTAAAAAGTTGTATTTATATTTTTTTGTGTTTTTATTAGAAAAACTGTTATTTGGGCACAATGTGTGACAAAAGAATATTGCACTAATTTATATGTTTAATCTGTAGCATTAATGAAATTAACCAACTCCAGTAAAAACAAATCAGGGCATTAATAATCATTCAAGACAATATTAGAGTATTTATAGATAAAAACACACTGTATTTTTGTAACAAATTTCAAAAAAGTCAGTTTTTGCAAGGGTTGATGTATTTATGGACCTTACCACTCAGTTCAAGAACATTTTTCCAGCTTTTACAATATTTTTGCCTATGCATTCTCTTTGTTATCATTCAGAATGATTGCAAAAACAGAATGTGATTTTGGAAGATTGATATATTAATGACATTATATATATGAAATGTTTTATAAAAATAAATTTTTCTAGCAATTAAACCAAACCACTTATCATCCTATGTTTTTGCACTCACTGATATTTATTAGCGAAAAACTGAAAGCTAGGAGAATGACACAATACAAATACCATGGGCGATTTTTCCAGAATTCATGCTGCCCAATCTTTGTCTATTTTCTCATCTTTTTGTTTCTTTTAATTGTTTTCTACGATAGAATTACTTGTTGAATCATTGAGGGTTTTCAATTCTTTTTAACCCATGAAAAATTTCACTAAATGCTTTACTACCCATTAACTTGTCCCATTAAAATTTGTTTCTGCTACATTTTTAGTGGAGCAAATATACTTCCACTAGATCAAGTGGGTTTTCTACTAAACTAGCAACTCTGCTTGTGAACACATTTAATTTGAAATGGATTGTCACTGACTTAATTTTCCAGCTGTATTAAAGCCACTTTACTACATAATTTGCCAAAAGGACTCGTGGAACAGAACGGGTTGGTTGACACTAAGCTGAGATCAACCAGTTTGACTTGGGAAACAACATTGAGATACGCGAAATTTTGTTCAACTTTAGGAATAGAAAAATACATTATATTACACAGGGTGTCTGCATGGACTGACAATCCAGTTCGACTTAAAAAGAGTTTCTAGATTAGAGGTTTTATTGTATTTTCTACATACAGAATATAAGTACAATTACAGCACAGATAACAAAATCTATTAACTATTACTAAACTATATTAAAATTTGTTTTTAGTAATGAGATAATACATAAATTTTAATTATTATATATGTCTATCAATACAGCTTTCACATGTTATTACATCAAATAAATTAATTTATTTCATTTAAGTAGAGCAAACAGAGAATATAAAGGAACAATATTTTCAGAGTATTAAACTCTATAATTCAATCAAATCAGAAAGATCAATACAAGAAAACAATAACTTCAAAAATCACACAAAATTTAAATCAATAATCTTGTCTTTAAATATTTAAAAGCTGAATACAATTTACTCTTTAATATTAGCATAACGTCATTTTAAACTGAAATTATCATTTTATTGAATTCAATATAACTTTAATATACAATCTGCTTTATATTATTATTATTTAGTTATCACATTTAATCTCAAACTACCTTCTTGAAATAACTGATTGACTTTCTAGTACAGTAATTTTTTTATCATGTGATATATTTAATTTTTGATAGCACTCCAACAAGCCAGTTACATCAAATATCCCCTTTTGTATATAAACATACAATATTGAAATACTTTAGTTTTAATAAATGCTATTTAAATCAGAACCAGAAACGTTTATTGATATATATTTCAATTTTTGCATCCCCAATTTATAATCTAATAGGTTATTTAGTACTGAAGTTATGTAATTTTTAAATATAACTACATTAAATCCATCAAACAACAATTTAAACTGAAGCAAGAAGCACAGTAGCACTTCTTACGTAAAATTATAGTTTACCATACTACTTAAATTCGAATTACAAAATGAGTATTTATTGTGATTTATAAAGAACTAAAAGTATTATCTTCAATACAAAAATGATCAAAGACAATTTGAAAAAACATTTGGCAATAGTCAATGTAAGATATAAGTCCCAAATAAAAACACCTACATTTTTGGTTACTGCATAATCTTCTCTAGTAAAAATTCAATTGAACAATGTAATATATTTGTAATTGTTGTTTTNCCAAAAAAGTAAAAAATAATAATAATAAATATTATATATTTCTATGACATCATTTCTATGAAATACGACAGGCTATATTATTAATTCGCTCATCCACCTGTATAAACGCAATTTTACGAATTTGTGAAACTAGATCTTCTAATAAAAATATATTTTCTGAGATCGTATATAAGATAGATTTTCACGATATTTTTTAGTAACTGCGCCAACGACATGTTTTCATTTAAATCTTACGATAATTAATAATGAACATTGAAAATACAACAACTAGATAAAAATTAAACGTTACTTTAATTGAAACACCATTAAATCGTATTAGCATTTCATAATAATTAGTAATATAATGTTTTTTTAGAAATAATATATCATAATTTATGGCATATAACATGCAACCCTTTTCCAGAAAAATAAAAATCATCCTTCATTTTATATATGAAGTTGCAATCTACCATAGGCTTATGATTTCTCCCAACAACCTTTGGTAACCTCTATCTAGCCTAACTCTTAAAAATGTTATTGTGGTAGCAATGGATAAACAAATTGCCATTGTCTGTTGCTGCCTCGTGTGAAAAGAAAGCTCCCATCAAGGCTAATCAGAGATAAATGTTCAGTAAAGAAAATTCAGGCCAACTGCCACATGAATGAGACAACTTAAGTATACTGAATAATTTTTCCTAAATAATATCTCCTGAAATATTAATGCATCTTATATATCATAAAATACAGTAGGTTTATCCCTCTCAACAGACGTATCACTATAAGTTTTATATATAATTATTGTCAAAAAATCTTACCTGGAGCATTTGGATTAGCCATATCCAGAAGTGGCTGAATGACTTCGCTCGGAAAAACATTATTCTTCTGCCAAAGATTTAATACACGAACAATTTTTGGCTAAAATATAATAAATTTTAAATTAATACAAGCCGTAACACACTTCAATAAATTATTTATCACTTCCGCATTTAAAAACTTATAATGCAACTATGTTTGAAATAAACAAATCACTTAAATTTAGGCAACTGAAATCATTTTCATTAATTACTTGATAGCTGCATAAATTATAAAATGAAGCTTAAAATGCTTTTCAGCAATTACCGAACAATCAAATTTTACTCCAGCAATGCATTGCGGATTTTTCACAAATATTTTTTTACGTATCCAAAATCAATTTTTATAGCTAAACATTCATCTATATACAGATTTTTTTTAAATTTGAATATCTTCTGTAAACAACACAAATAATTATATGCTATAATTTTAATTTATAAATATTATAATAAATATTACTTACTCTATCTTCAAAAGGACATTTAAAAAGATTTTGGAAAGTTGCAGTTATATTCTTAGTAAATCTAGGTGCAAATACATCTTTTTCACAACCAAACTGATGTCTAGACTGTCGTACAATAGAATCAATGACGTAAAGTCCTGGCACTTTATATTCTGCACGGCACTGAAGAATAAAAATCAATTTCAAATTAAAAAAAATGGGCAAATGCAACAATTTTAAAATCTATTATTAATATACTTTGCATTAAGCAGGCTAGTAAATCTCAAACACAACACCAAACCTAAATTCTGTCCGGTAACAAAATTTAACATGTCTACAGACATTTTTGATTTCCTCAAATAAAGTCAAACTCCAACTAATAAGTTGGGAGTTTGCTTTCATTTTTCTGTAAGAATAGTTTACAGAAAAGAACAACAAACAGACAGAAAAATAAGATAAAAATTAAATATAAATAATAAATTAGATGTATAAATAGATACTTGGTTGGTAGAATAGTAATAAAAAAAATTAAAATACATGCATAAGGAAAAGTAAATACTGTGGAATAAACAACAAATAGTTAGGCTATAAATTCATAAATGAAAGTGATACTGTACATTATTCACACTTATACAGTTGTAATCAACAATCTATGTAATATATATCAATTAACAATCTATTATGAATACACTTTGATTTAAAAGATATTATCATCAACAATGGCCAAAGTATGGCTCGCAAGCTCACTTGAACATCAGAAGTGCAACTTGAAATATGCATATGACCGTTTAGCTGTGCTATAGTCTCAAAAATATTTTAATATTGTGTTATAAAGGCTAAATCATATTACGTCAACATCTATGTAGTAAACAAATTTAAGCTGATGGAAGTCAACCAAAATTGTCGTGGTCGTATACTACTAACATCCCAATATTACATTGCATAACCACATTTCCACTAAGGCTATTATAATGTCAATGCCTCAAAAGTGGTTCTTGAATCTTGTCTGGTTAACTACTCGATGTTATGTCAATTCTCTTACTCTTACTTGTCTTTCTTTTAAATTGAACAATGTATCCTTTCCATTTAAGAATTATGTATGTTCAGATAGATAACATTTTAGAGAATGTATTCAACTGAGATACAACTGCCGTCTTCAATATCTCAGTTGGGTCAAAATAACCCAGACAACAGACAATTTGGCAAAATGGCCAATCTGCTTCCTTTCAGCCTTATGATGTGGCCTTTCTCAAACTCCATCAGCTGTGCATAAAGTCTCCAACCTTGTCGTACGAGCATGTCTGACAATCAAAGACTTCCAAATAACAATATGGAAAATTCTGAATGCAGTAAGTCTCTGCAAGCCTTTTTATAGGAGGATACTGGGATAGCAATTTTAAGGCACTCTGGTGTGCAATATGACTGCAACTGTAATCATTTATATATCCGTCGAGAGACAGCTGTATTAAACAAACAAATTCACACCGAAATACTAATTCCAGCAGTAAACAAAGAAATAAACTTTAATGTTCAAATGTTTTCGGCCGTCTTTCAGAGGCCTTCGTCAAGAAAAATGCATAAAACAGAAAAAACAGTTCTATCTTTTAAAAGTTTTAGCTAAGATAGAACTATTTTTTTCTGTTTTATGCATTTTTTCTGACGAGGGCCTCTGAAAGATGGCCAAAAACGCTTGAACATTAAAGTTTATTTGTTCATTTACTGCTGGAATTAGCATTTGTGTGTGAATTTGTTTGTTTACTATACAAATAGTTCCAGTTTGTGTGTGCCAGTTTTTTGTCTGACACAGCTGTATGCCTAGTTTTGCAGTAATCAGACAATTCTACCTGAATGCATAGCTTTTTTGTCAATAGGTGTTTGTATATACAAGATGTTCACTTTCAACATTTATCCAGGTGCAAGAGATCTTTTCAACAACAACAAGATTCCATTTTTAATTTTCACTTTTTATCTTTGAAAAATTTACCTATTGCCTTGAAACTACTGCATGATTTACATGTCTCTTATTTGAATGAATTAATTTATTTTACTTATTTATTTATTATCCAGCATGCATATGATGCGTTAGTTTCACTGTACTGTTTAAGGTAAAATACCACATAGCCTGCTAACTGGTAGAACACTGCAACAACTTATATGACACACATTATTGGAAATGATCATACTTTATGAGAAAACAAGTCAAAATTCACAAGAAGAAGCATCTAGAATCCAGGGGTGCAGAATATTTTCAGGACCCAAAATTTCTCCCTGAAATCCAAACATACACAAAATTTCCCCAACAATTATTGCACACAAAATAAAATGTTTTACAAACCAGTTAATAATTATTACTATGTAGTTTGTAAAATTCAAATTAAATCATCAATCATAAAATAACACCTTTAATACCTTAGTTCTCCAATACAAAACAATAATAAAACTGACATTTTCGATCTAATATGATCTTTTTCAATTCAATTAACATTCCAATATTCAGAATGCAAATTGAACAATGACATATTATAAAACTAAGAGGAAAAATTTTTAAATGAATGATTACGGTAAATTCACTCCTGAAATATACAGTAAATGTATAAGTAAATTAGTTTACATCAATATTGTGATGTAATGGTTAAGTGCAGACAATATGTCAACATACCACACAAAGGAATGAATTTTATTTATTTATTTTTTTTGATGGCATCGTGGGCCTGTGCACTTAGGCATACTTCTACATATAGTCACATATAAGCACACATGAAATAATAAAACAATGTGAATTTTAACAGTCCAAATAAATCAAATTTTATATTGCCATAACATGCACCTGTTTAAATGCTGGCAAATAAATGGCACAGCATCAGACAACAGCAGAGGTAGGAAACTGACTGGTGCAACATGATGTTAAATTTATGCCAAGTCAAACTACAACTGCTTGAATAGATCATATGGACTGACAAGAAACTTTTTACCTAAATGGTGTGAAACCACCATAATGCATACCACTGGGCACTGTGTACTCCTCAATGCCATGCAAAATACATGTCACCAGATGCATTTTACTCTAAACATCTGGTATGGCATCTGGAGTAAGCAGGTTCTTGTTCACAAATTCATTGACCAAACCATAATTATTTTAATATCCTATACATGATAATGGACAAATGGTTAAATGACTTACTGTTAGAACAATTACAGCAGGTTAGCATGCTGACTTGTTCCCAGGCAGATATGTATCAATGGTTCACAGAGCAGTTCAAGCAACTGACAAATAAGACACGGTCCTATTCCTTGGTCATTGCTTATTCCAGACTTGACCCACAACCTTTCCCACAGAATCACCCTAAAAGCATAAATTTACATTTACCCAGCAGTACTGCATGATTTTGGCAAGCTGCAAACATAAATAAGTAGGTTTTTAAAACAGTGACACTGAGTATGAATGGGTCCATAAGACCACACAACCATCTTTATAAAGCTAACTGTTACTGTATTACTTTATTTAATGTTATTTTTTATCCTTTACATTCAAAGATTCTTTTTACAGTATGTTAAATCTTCTTAAAATAATTCTCTTCTGTTGGAAAGAATTCTGATCAGGAAAGATGGAAACCTTACCTTAGAAATACCATGCAATTTATACATAGCTCTTTCGTGAACAAACTAATTACTTTTATTATAAACATCATACTGAAACTAAGACACCTAACACATACTTGTGCAATGCTAGAATGATCTTTTTTTTTATGCTTGGATAAATATTACGTGAACCCCTTGTGTAAGTAATAATAATAAGGAAAGGATCAAAGTATTAAAATACAATATAAAAAACATTGACAAAGAGAGTTTATATCATAATGAAAACACTAAATAATTAGGATGGAAACATCGAAATGAATTTATTTCATATTAAATTGGATGAACGTCTGTTCTAATTCAAAACAATATTTTACAAATAAAATCAGTTTTCCATCAGTAGCAGTAACAGCAATTGGAGAGGCAGTAAAAAAAAAATAAAATAAAATAAATTGTTAACAATTTTAATGAATTATCATTAAAATTGCTAACAATTGTTTTAACTATATTAACAGATAAACGAATAATTATCTTATTATACAGAATGTAATAAGATAATTATCTGTTAATTAATGTGATGTGAAAAGTTCATGAAGAGAACAAACAATTATTTATTGTAACATTGTCACAATGCCCAGATGCAATTTTTAATCATATTTTTAATTTACTTAATTTAAAATATATGCTCTTCACCTCAAATTAGTAGTGTCTTGCGCCTGTATATCATACTTTCCTGCTACAATTGTTCCAATCATTGAACTCAGGGCTTCTTAAACTATGGGTTGTGACCCCATTTGGGGTCGCTTAGGGAAATCTTAAGGTTGCAAGATTTTAATGCAAAATATTGAAAATAATTTGAGAGAGTTTGAAAATGGCACGCTTTGTGTCATAGGTTTCGTGAGTTGCGCTTTGTGTCACTTCTGGTGCAGCGAGACAACGATTCAGCAACACTGATTGTAGTGTGAACTAGTGCAGTGTTGTCGATTTTCAATGTATTCAGTTGTCTCTGTTCCATTGTAACAGAAGAGTGAACTGTGGTAGTACACCATTATTGTTTTTGCAAATTTGTATTTTTGGGTCGTGAAAAAAATCACAATTATAAATGGGGTCATGAATAAAAAAAGTTTAAGCAGCCCTGATCTAAATCCTATCAGGAAAAAATTTTTGAATTGAAATAACATTACTTCTGGTTCATTCCAGAAGTTTGTATATAGTTAATCGGGGCCTCCTGCCACTAAGCTTTCCATATCTGGTTTTGAATTTCATCTATCTAACTCCATTCTCGCGATTAAAAAAGTACAGACAGACAGTAGGTATTTATAGGTTCACAACTTTTTTCAATTTTCAGCCCAACAAAGCAATCTTCAAGAACTATAATTATGGTAAAAAAAAAAAAACAGCCAAAAGAACTTGTTTTCCCTAATTATTCTATGACAAAAATAGATAAGATATACAGTAGAGCGTCGTTTATCCGAATCAATTGGGGACTGGGGTTGTTCGGATAACTTATTTTTCGTATAACCGATTATGTACGAAAAAATATATTAACCTATCCCACCCTGAAATTTTTCTCCGTTGCGTGTCGCTTTGCGCTGAATTTTCATCAA